TGGAGGAGCTTTAAGGTCCCTTCCAACACAAACCAGGCTGGGATTCTATGAACCTGTTATATCTTCTACCTCCCAGGCAGGAAGGAGCTGAAAGCAAGGAGAGTGTGGCCTCAGGGGCAGAGTGAGACATCTTGGACTGGATTTATAAGTTCTCCCCAAATTTGAGCAATCCCTGTGTGTGCCTCAGTTTCCCCACTGAACCCAGGTTGCTAATCCTCAGCCCTCTCATAAGCAACGTGGCTGCGTCACCCCTCAACCATGCCACATCGCTCCACAATGTCTGACAAAGGCCTGTCCCACCTTTCAGGAGCTGAAGCACCAGACAGAGGTGACACTGAACATTGTGCACTGTCCCCCTGTCACCACGGCCATCATCCGGCGCCCCGACTCCAAGTACCAGCTGGGCTTCTGCGTTGAGAATGGTGTGGTGAGTTCTTGGGCTGGGCCAAGGGCTTCAGGCACTCTTCTGCAAGAGACACACAGTTCTGGCTGTGTCCTCGCTGCTCCAGTGCTCCTCTAGCTTCCACAGGGAAAGAACCTGTGCTTGGGCTGCAGCAAAAGGCTTCTCGTAGCTCTCCTGCAGCACTAGGGGTTGGATCTGTCACCCTGGTGCTCCTTTGCTGTTTGCTTTCAGGGTGGTGCTTTCTTCCTGGCTTTCTTGGCATGACCTTAGGGACACTTGTTGCTCTTGCCCATGTCCCAGGTGCTCCCTGCTCTGAGGCTGCGTTAGAAAAGCAGAAAGGAGCATTTCCAGGGCCAGGGGAGCTGAGATGGGGATGGAGGGTGTGGAATGGCTGTGGCCCAAGAGCTGCTGCCCCAGGAAGAAGCTCTGGCTCTGCAGCCTAGATGGGAACACGGGGGTTCGATGAGCTGAAGGGGGGAAGCTGATGGTCTGGGGAGCTGAGGAGAGCCAGGGGAGCAGAAGCCTGTGTGCTGCAGCTCAGCACATGACTCCAGTGGCAGTGATGCAAAGGGCCATCCCTGCCCTTGCCGTGTGCTGGAGAAGTAGCATCCAAGTCGAGAATTCTTCCTGGGAGCTCGCCCAGATGCGAGGTTTGGGGGTGGTTGCTCCTGGCCCTGGGCTGTGGGCACAGCTCTGATCC